TTACATGAAACATTTTTGATCTGATCAGGCCTTCAATCCGATTAGTTGTGTCCATGTAAACGTAGCTATTGGTGGATTTTCTTTATGACTTGCTCCTCGCGTGTGTCCTCCTGGCATTTCCTGGTTTTCATTTCTTGTTTATTGCTCCTGGTTGTGTTTCTGTTGCCATCTACATCTGATCTGTACCACTCCTGCCAAATGGGACAACTTCCTCCTGATGTTTAGATAGATAAGACTTTATGATAGAATATATGTTGGACGTGAATGCACAAGATGCGAGAAGCTAGTTTCAAAAAGTCATCTGAGCTCTGGCGGAACTCATCCTACTATAAGGACGTCATCCTGGAATGAATCTGCTTTAAGGGATAGAAACATTTTCAGCTGTGAACCTGTTCCTGAGGCTTGCTGACACTATTCCCCTTGCAAGGCCCAATCTGGAGGAGGCTTACCGAAAAGGTTTGTCTTTCGCCAACCTGTCAAAATACATTTTCCTTTGTGCTGGGAGAAAATCAGTCCAGAGGGCAGAGACGCTTTTGAGAGCACATGCGAAGAAGAGCGATTTTCTCTTCTCGGAGCGGCAGTTTCTCACGCTTGTGTGATTTTGTTCTGCTGTGGTAGATAAACAATGCGCAGAAGTAGCTTAACTTACATGGGAGTATGTTGCCATACATAGTCCCTCCATGGTGTCCTTGTCCTCTTCTTAGTCCACCTCCCGGTGGGACATCCTTGGAACCCCTCAGAAGGAGGCATCGAGGAGTGTCCATCAAGTCTCCCCTCACTGATGGACAGGAGTCCAGGATACTGGAGGCTGGAGCTCTGCTCCAATCTGAAGGGTAACAAAGCAGAACAGAAGCTCGTCAACCACAGAAAGCAGGGATGAGATCCACTGGTCCCTGAGCCAGACCCCCCTCTGGTCTCTGGCTGCTCCTACAAATCCAGTCCATAACGATTCTGAACAGGACCGGTACCAGAAGGTAGCCCTGCTGACTAGATGAGGAACCAACTCCTGCTCCCCCTGGAGAGGAGAGAGAGACCGGATGGCCCCTAGCAAAGGGCCCCTGACTCCATACTCCTGGCCCCTCTCATGGGAAAAGGTATTTAACTATTGACTCCAGGTAAATAAACGAAGATCGATGGATTTCACTCAGTCAGCATTTTATTTTCCTTCACAACGTAAAAAGAGAACGAGGCAGAATGATGTTCAGACCTGCGCTGATCTAGGCAGTGTTTGTCTCACTAACTACCGACAGTGGAAAGTTTTCAGTCAAGCCAAATGACAGAAACATGTTATGGATAAACCCGGAATCTGGCTGCTTATGGGAAAAGTATTCCTAGTCGTTAACACTCCAAAAATGTTATAGCCTTAAGGCTCTGAGGCCTGAAACTCGGAAATCTTAAATCGATACATGTAAAAGGAAATGAGGTCATCCTTTCCATCCTCTGTTCTCCTTTCACAAAATTCTGCGAACTGTGACTGTATTTACAGTAAATAAAGAAAAATGTAAACAAGGAAAAAGATGATCTCTGAGCATTTTCTGAAGACTTGTCATTGACGATCCTTCATTGTTTCCCACCATGGTGGATTTACTGGTTCTTCAGGGTTTGAACCAAACAGCTGATTCTGTGACGTTCAAAGAGTTTTGATGTAATCGTTCCAGACAAAAAACAGCAGCTGAGGATGACTCAGACTCTAAAACCTGAAACCATTTAATCTTTGATTCGTGTCACTTCTCCTCCTCAAACCAGTGCAGCCTGTTTAACTCTGGTCTAGCTCACTGGAAACCAGTATAAAGACCTTCCAGCTGGAGCTTCTCCTTTAAAAGAGATTATTTTAGGGAGTGATGGCCTAGTGGTTAGAGCAGCTTGTGCTCTGAGAAGGTTGCAAGTTCAAGGTTCGATTCCCACAGACTGCCACTCTGGGTCCCTGAGCCAGACCCTTAACCCCACCCTGCTCCCCACACGCCACACAATGGCAGCTCACTGCTCCCCAAGGGGAGGGGTTAAATGCAGAGAGGGAATTTCTCCAATCTGGGACAGTAAAGTTAAATCATTAATCATAAGGAAACTGAGTTAAACTAGACCTTTGGTAAAGCTTTGGTTTCCTGAATGGATGATGGCCTGTAAATCACTGATCACTGTTTATTAACTGGATGGCTGATTGCCCAAAAAACATTAAGCCACAAAGACGCACCATAAAATGCTCCCTGTGCAACATTTGACTGCAACAACAATCAGTTTTTGTTGACGATCCTCAGGTCATTTCCCAGTCAGAATAAATCCATCTATAGCCGATGGATCCTATAGTTTAGTCTGCAGACTAACTTTAGTCTGGCTATCTCAGACTGACTGGAAGACATTGACTGAGTTAGACACTGACATTGGGTCTAAGGTTAGAAAATAGAGGAAATAGAAAATAGAGGATTCCGTAAAAATTCAAAAAATATCCACTGGACTTGGTTTCCAAGATTTGAAGACGTTTCGCTTCCTCTCCAGGAAGCTTTCTCAATTCAAATGGTAACCGATGAATGGGTTGTTTGGTTCCATTGTTAGCCTGTAATATCTGATGGACCCAAACGATCCGCTCATCGGTTTCCATTTGCATGTTTCCAAGCGATACCAGGCTTTGTCTATAAAGACTCAAACTCACTGCGGATCCAGACATT